TCATATATTGGTAGCCTCCAAAACATACTTATAAACGAAAAACCGTATGATCGTATTTGAGGGTAAAAAATGCAAGGATCAAGAATCCGATGGATTTATATCGCAAACAACCTGTTGAACAATCGTATTATGGACCCAGAAATAACAGAATTTCTTCTTTACTCTTTCACCCTCTTGGCTCCACTTTGATAAAGGTTTTTATGAGGAATCTGTGCAAAGCATTGATTTAAAAATGAGTAGATTTTGAGACTATCAGTAGAATTTGAGTAGTAACTTTAGTCAACTCAGTTCGCATAAGATTATGGAGGACTAACGGTATATTTTTCCCACAATAAGTTAATTAGGCCTCCTAGAGATATTCTCATCCAGGCCAGACCAGAGTTTCGGCCAAAGATTTTATTATCATTATCCCATTTGCAAACATTCCAAATAGCTATTCTGGTCAAAGATAGTAATACTTAATATGCTACATGCAGTTGAAGCTAGAGCTGGTATACAATAATTTTTCATCGTGAAAATGTGATCACAAGATGCCTAGAGAGAGGAGTCTCCTCAGGCAAGTTCAGGCCAAAATCTCGTTGAAATAAGCAATTGAACCACCAAATCCCCATCCGAAACAACGAAAATCAGATTTTATCAGCTTCAACCTAATGACGACATAAAAGATGTTTAATTGAAATTTGCTGTGTGCACAAACTTGTGTGGATCCTAACCATAACTTAAATGTCATAGGTCAAAGCAAGTAAAGCTCCTCGTGTGTTTAGGTGTATATTTCACAACGTATTGTTGAGAAATCGTGTTAGAGACGCAGAGATAACGGAATAGCTTAGTTTAACTCTGCAACCTCTCATCAAAAATGACTTATTCAGGAATATCCTCGGCTAGCACAGGTTCGATTGGTGAACAAATAAAAGACAAAAAAAACATAATTTTAGTTAATAACATCTAATTGAACAGGGAATTCCCAAGATGAGATGTAAACAGTCAATTGGCTTCATGTAAGGAGATCAGGAATAAGATAGCGCAATGATAGTCTAGAGTGAGGAAACCAAACAAGATCAACTTACCTTGTTACGAAGAATAAAGATTGGGATCTAAAAGAGAATGAAAAAAGAGAGATTAACAAGATTAAGAAAGAGCGAGTCGGAAAAATGCTCGAGTGAACAACGTACTGCTCCAAGGAATGCTGTTGCAACTAGACGATACGGTGTGTACACCGAGTTTACGTGGCTGATGACAGACTGGATGACACGGGTCAAGCGGGAGGTCGGCAAATGTTTCATGAGGCTGCTGAAAGTCAAAAGAGCAAAACGTACAATTACAGCCCAGGCAGATCTGTTTGGGAGTGGAGGGGTCATTATGTCAGAAACAATCCAAGCGAATGTTCTCTGCTCATAATAGAAATGAATATGTTTTAGTCAACGAAAATAAGAGGATTTTTATCATTTGACTGCACAGACTCAGTCACATGTCAGTCCACGACCAAGTGATCATTAAATCATCATCATTTGATGCTACAGAACATAAATCCAAATTGTCCCTTTCGTACCGCATTGGTCTTCTATCCTTTTGGCTCGATCGGGCAAGAGATGAGCCTAATAATCTGCTTGGCAGAAGAAGTTGATCATGATTACCCGTCGTAAAAATAAATTTTAGTGCTTCTCGTGTTGTCTATGTCATGTTGCCTTGATTGCCAGTGTCGGCTGAAGTTCGAAAGCAGTTTCGGTGAATCGGGCTAGTTGAATTTAGGCTACAAATTTAGCACCATTTCTCATTGATATGCTCGACATCAGAGAGCCAATATATGAACTTTAAGATGCAATTGAGAGCTCTGGCAGTATCTTTATTCCGACTTTTGGTTGGATCCATCTTTTGCGCTTTACTCTCATTCATGACCGGTAGATTAAAAATGTTTTTAGTTTGCAAATAGGTTTTTGAAAAATTCAGTGGAAGCGTAAGGTTTATTCATATGATTTTGGGAAAATTCAACGACTAGTACTTCATCACCTTAAGCGAAATAGGGTGAAAACATCTCATGTTGTTAAACATATGCCCCAGAGTTTAAAAAAACCTCACACGGTAGCAGAAGCATCACTGTTTATAGCTGAAAAAGCTTGTCAAGCACAAGACACTCGGGGGGCTTTAGCAGGCTCGACATCTGCCAGACGACGGGACTCAATCTTAATTAATAAACCAAATTAATTTTTGTACATATGGGCTGGAGTAAGTCATCACCTAAAAGAAGAATTCATAGAAAAACATCATTTTGTTGGAGCATTTAGAAAGCCAGATATACATCGTAGACTAAACACGTTACTATCCATTTTCTAACATGAAAAACTAGGTAAATTTGCCACATTCCAAATAGACAAAATTTAAAACAAAAGATGTTTACGAAAGTTTATTCCTATTAAGAGAGATGAGTGAAGGGGTTCCTTCAATCAGACTCATCCAAAACCAAATGAGAATTGCCCTTGAGCTTGGATTGTAGATTTATATGAATAAATCTTCGATTCACAAATCCATGAATTTCGCCTTTGGCCTCCAATTACTCCTCGCTTATCAAAACGAAGTGAAAGGTATGTCAAAATTAAGCTACGAAGAAATTCCTCAAAGCCCACATTTATTCGTATCTATGACTCATGTTTTAGTTGTAGTTCTCGTAACAAGAGGGCATAAGGGAAATTCGACCGAGTAGAAACATTGTTCCCAGAATCGCATTGCTTATGCCGAAAGGAGCCTGAATAAAAGACTTCTCGGCGGAGCATAGGAGCTGCTTCCTCAACCAGTGAGCTTCATAGCCTGCTTCAGCAAAACAATTAAATGTGTTAATTGGTCAGCCGCAAAGGAGGCCTCAGAGGCATCACTTACAAAGTGAAGATAACTGTAGCGTAAATGAAGTTCTGTGGTGGAATCAGATGCGTGAGGTCGGCATCCAGATCAACATTGCCGAGGGAATAAGCGACATCAACTTCACTCACTGGCCATGCAGATGGCGAGCAAGAGGAAGTCCGCTGAGGCAACCGGCTGGCTTGCAAATTAGTGGACCGTCTTCTGGGCGGACTAGCCTGTTTGAGGCCGGCAGGGCTGTCGGATTCCTCAGAGGTCCGAAGGAGCAAAAGGTCGCAAAGCAGACGAACGCATCGAGTTGCATAAAGAAAGCCGCGAAGACCTTCCAGTGGAATACTGAAGATTCACAAGACGTACAGGGGATTGATTAATGAAAAGGCTACATACAATAAATAATAAATAAATGAATAAATGTAAATATATACAGAAAATTTGGCATGTCAAATAAAAGGAATACTTAGCAAAATGTACAAAACAAGATTAGTAGCCAATAAACAAATAAAAGGGATGAAACATATATCGAATTCTTGTGATGCCGTTGTTTGATGTTGCTATGACAATCAGGTAAGTGTAGCCATTGCAGATCTTTCTTCGGTTCAGATGATAAAAAGACCGAGTCTTCACCTATTACATCCTTTGGCAGATGTCATTCCTAAAAAAACCTCAAGCAGACACAAAATTCGATTGTCATGAGGAGTGCTGATGTGACCGAGGCAGGGTTGAAACTCAATCTGGTCTAGCTCAGACAAGAATGCCTTTTGGGAAAGGAGATTAATTGAAATTGAATGAGGCTTTCTCTTATCATTCC